TTCAATCGGGATTTAGGGCAAAACATAGTTGCTCAACGGCCATGCTCAAAGTTCTTGACGATATTAGGTTACCGATTGACAAGAAGCAGCTAACTTTGCTTTGTCTACTGGATTTTTGAAAAGCCTTTGACTCGGTAAACTATTCATCATTATGTCATAAGCTTAAATGGTATTATGGGTTTGATGAAAACTCATTAAAGCTTCTGAAGAACTATCTTTCAGAGAGACATCAACGCGTTAGGGTTGGTACGAATACCTCGAAACCCGAAAAGCTTACGTCAGGAGTTCCCCTAGGGTCAATTCTAGGGCCTCTCTTATTTAGCTTATTTATCAATGACATTTTTCGTGTTTGCCAGTTTTCAAGAATGCATGCTTATGCGGATGATATCCAGCTATATCTTTCAAATAATTTTGAAAATCAAGGTTTAATAATTCGTCAACTTAGCCATGATCTATCTGCCATTGAGCAGTGGTCTAAGAGAAATGGTCTTCGCCTTAACTCTGGAAAGTCTTTTGTTTTACCAATCGCCAAGAAGAAGCTTGACATTACAACAATACCCCTGATAGTTCTTGGAAATAAACCTTTTGGTGATAACATAAATGTAAATAAAATAACAAACCTGGGATTTGTCATTAATTCGAGCTTAAGTTGCAAGGATCATATAAATTCTGTTGTTTCCAAAGCTTATGGTGCGCTAAGAAACTTACGTCAAACTGCGGAATTTACTCCAGTAGGCACAAGACGACAGTTAGCAATTCAACTTATAGTTCCTACCTACTCCGAAATTCAGGACTACTTAAGGGCAAAAAGCTGTATTTTTCTGTTCCGGCTAATCTCTACAAAGACGCCCTTCTACCTATATGAGAAGTTAATATTCCCAAAGTCTGAGCGCTCAAACCACCTTATTGTACCCAACTATAATTTTATAACATCGACTAGACTATTTTTTATCACTGCTATTAGAACGTGGAATTCTATTCTATTCATAACAAGAGGTAGCTTTAGTTACTTTAAAAAAGTCATATATTCTCATTTCTCCAATTAACTGGAGCGACCATCAACATTAGTTTAAGTCCTTATATTTTATATTTTATATTATATTTGTATATTTATGTTAATTTTGTAATAGTTTATGTGTTATTTATTTCAATACTTGCGAATTTTTGTTGTGCTAAAAAAGAAGAAAATTCTTATTGTACTAATGGTTCTTGTTTAATAAATGAAATGAAATGAAAATAATATTTCCAAAACAATAATTTGCTGAGGTGGCAGTGATACGTCATAAGCACAGTTTATGTGAAAAAATTTTAAAGTGAAACTACCTTCTTTTTTTGTATCATGCCAAGAAACAAACTTTGGCGTCAAAGAACATGATAAGGGTATTCATTTGAACGTGTAAACTTACGAAATGCGTTAATTTAAGAGTTAACGCACAATGTTACATCCCTGATGTAGGTATACCATACTAAGAAATGGCAACTGAAATTAAAATTCGTTACCCGGTATTAAAATGTGCCTTACAATTGCACTTAGCTCTGCCGTGTACAACTTGCACAATTGAAAGGTCGTTTAGCACACTAAGGGCCGGTTTCTCCATCTCTGGTTAACACTAACTCCCCGGTTAAACATTGTTATCGACGTTCTAACTCCATGCATATAACAGGGAGTCGATAAGGTCGGTAACGATGTTTACCGGGGGATTAGTGTTAACCGGAGATAGAGAAACCGGCCCTAAGAAGGGTAAAAACTTGGCTGCGCTCCACAACGAGCGAAACTCGACTTAACGGTAATCATCTACATATATATGTATAATTGCTCAGCCATACGACTTAGTTAGGGCATACATTTCACGAAAGCAAAAACTTTCTTTTTTAAACACCTGGGACATCACTGAACATTATAAAGGACCCTAAATGCCGGCCAAGCTCAAAGCTTTAAAAATTTGTTGATGTGATTTTTGAAGTGAACGTTCCAAAATTAGCCGGTATACACATTTAAAAATTTTTAGAATCAGTGGTTGAATTTTTGTACTGAAAGGGTTAAGAAAGCTTTAGTTTAAAAGTGTGATACTAAAGCTGATGCCAGATAAAACTTTGTGGCTTTGCGGAACATTTATAACTTTGCCAGCAAAGCGCCAGACGCAAAAGGTATGTCACAATGAACGCCAAGAAAACAATTTTGTTCTGATTTTTTTCTCG